ATGTGTTTAACTGTCATTTTCGTGACCAAGGCAGCAAATAAATATGCCTTGAAAGATGGAGTTTAATAGAATGCCTTTTGGCTTATGCAATGCCCCTTCAACTTTCCAGAGGTTAATGGATGTTGTACTATCAGGCTTGCAAGATTAAGAATGTTTCTGTTACTTAGACGATGTTATAGTGTTCTCTGCAAATTTTGAAGAACACTTAGAAAGGTTAAAGCATGTATTTGGTAGATTATGGATAGCAAATTTAAAGCTTAAACCAAGTAAATGTCAGTAGAATATCTAAGTCATTTGGTAACCACAGATTGTATAAAATCTAACCCTAAAAAGTTAGAGGTTTGTGAGAATTATCCAGTGCCTAAAACAGTGAAAGATGTTTGTGCATTTTTAGGATTTTATAAAAGGTTTATACCACATTTTGCTTTATTGGCAAAACCTTTAACTGAATTAACTAAGAAATAAATAAAATTTCAGTGGACAGATAAAAGACAAGAATCATTCGATAAACTAAGGGAAGCTTTATTAAAAGCACCAATTCTAAGTTATCCAGACTTCTGTAAATAATTTATCTTAAGCACAGATGCTTCAGGTTTCTCTCTATCGGTGCAATATTATCTCAGTTAGATGAAACTGGAAAAGAACACCCTATAGCTTATCAGAGTAGACAGTTGGGAAAAGCTGAAATAAATTATTCAGTTACAGAACAAGAATGCTTAGTGCAGATCATGCACCATTAAAATGGTTAATGACATTAAAAGACCCTTCCTCTGGGTTAGCGAGATGGGCATTATTACTACAGGATTATGATTTTGAAATAGTACATAGATCAGGTAGAAAGCATTCTACTGTTGATGCTCTGAGTAGAATTAGATTATAAAATACCGAAACTCAAGAAAAGCAGGTAATTAACCAAGTAAAAGAAGTACAAACTGAACATAAAGACGAGTTAGAAGTAATTGGATTAGTGAGCAAAAGAAAGATCCAATAGTAAACTCCCTACGAAACAAGGTAATACAAGGAGATGATACAAAATACATATTAGATTCAGATATCCTATGTAAAAGGGTTAAAGATAACAGGTCTTTACAAATAGTTATACCACTTTACATAAAAACTAAAGTTATGAAAACATATGACACGCCATTTGCAGCACACCTAGCTTTTGCTAAAACATACAATAGGATCAGTAAAAGATTCTTTTGGCTAAATATAAGGAAAGATATTAAAGATTACTGTGAATCATGTGTAGAATGTCAAAAACAAGTCCACATTGTAAGAACACTCCCATGCAAAGAATGCCGAACCTAACGACACCTTTTCAGCTAGTAGCTATGGACATATTAAGCCCATTACCTACATCCTACGCAGGAAACAAGTATGTGTCACTAGTGTGGACTACTTAACCAGGTTTCCTGAGGCTATATGTCTACTGGATCATAAAGCAGAAACAATAGCCAAGGCTTTTGTAAATCACATAATAGCTAGACACGGTATACCCCAATATCTATTAACAGATAGAGGTAGTAACTTTATTTCTAAGTTAATGAAGGAAGTTTGAGTTATTAGGTGTGAAGAAAATCGAAACCACAGCTGCTAATGGTTTAGTAGAGAGATTTAATAGAACCTTGTTAGATATGATCACTCAATACTGTGAGAAAGATCAGAAAACTTGGGATGAGCAGATCCCCTTGTTAATGTTAGCATATAGAAGTGCTGAGAACGAGTCAATTCAAGAAAGTCCATTCTTTCTATTGCATGGTGGAGATGTTATTTTACCTATGCAAGGTATATTAGCTTCTAGAAAAGCTAATTATACAGTATATTATGACTGTAAGGTAGAATTACTAAAGAGAATGCAGTTAGCATTTGAGTTATCTAACAAGCATTTAACTAAAGCTGCTGAAGGTAGGGAGAAACAAGTAAATAAAAAGGCACAGGCTAGTGATATAAAGTTAGGGGACAAAGTATCGTTATACACCTCAATTGTTAAGGGAGGAAACACTGAAACGTCAGCAAAACTATGGAAAGGTCCATTTAGAGTCCTGAAACAGACTTGTCCAGTTAATTTTGAGATTCAAGAAATCTATGGAAAAGGTAAACAGTTAGTACATGTGAACAGGTTAAAGAAGGTAAAGGGTTATAAACCTTATTAGTATGAGTGTGTAGAAGATGAAACTAAGAAATCAGAAGAAGATAAGAGTATTCTTGAAGAGGCTAAATAGAATAAGATATATATATATATTATATAAATATTGATTATAACTAATCGTGTTATTAGTATATATATCTATAGGTTTACCGGGATTCTTGTATTGTTCCTGACAAAGATCGGACAGAACGTGAGTATTGTGTCAGTAGAAAACAAGGTAGGTGTGGTTTTTGTTGAAGAAGGTAATTTCATATTATCTGGTGATAAATGGATATAATTGTGGAAGATATACCATTTCCACAGTACGTTAGGATACTGATAAGATTACAGGAAGAGTTGGTGTTGTTTGAGAAGTCATTGAATGTGGATACTCATGTCAGTTTTGATACGAATGGTTCAGAAGATGTGACATTATATCACAGGCCATAATATCTTACAGTTATCTCACGACTATCTTACAGTTAGCTAGGATACTACAGGAAGGATTAATCGAGAATTATAAGACTTTAATTAGACAATATCATGACAAGATAGATGAACTGTTATTAGAATTAAAAGATATTAAAGATAGCGTATCCATATCAGACAAAACTAGAGAGAGACAGGGTTTAATAAATGCAGGTGGAAGTATTTTAAAATTCTTGTTTGTAACAGCAACCACTGACGATTTACAAGACTTAAATGAAAAGGTAGAACAACAGAGACAGGTTTCTAAAGAAATGATTCATTTAATAGGAGAACAAGCAACTATAATGTATTCATTAAATCAGACAATTGAGTTACATGACCAAGAAATTAGAAAAGTATCTGAAGCTTTAGTAAACATTACTAATGCATTAATACACACTAGAGTAAGACAAACTGAGTTACATAAAGCAGGAATGGA